CCTGGGAGCCCCGGATGGATCTTCCAAAACTATTTCCTCGCTCTAGAGCCCACAGTCCCTGCGGACTCCAAGCCAAGTCCTCCCGCCCACGCCTGCCCAGCATGCGCCTGCAGCCTCTCTCTCTACTGGAGGGCAGCCGCTCCCCTGCCACCCCACTCTGCCATCTGTTTTGCACAATCCCTGAGCCCTGTGTGGCACTGCTGTGAGACTTCACTACCTGGTCAGTCATTCTCAGGACGCCTGCCGCAGCTGCTGGGCCTGGTCCTTCCTACGGCCTCCGTCCCCCTAACTGGATGCCACTCCTTCTGTGGCTCCTCCTCCCTCCCCCACCCAGCCCTGTCTCTCCCTGGCAAATCTGCCCAGACCCTCACCGGAAGGACAGGCAGTTGTTGACGTTGGCAATGACATTGGCCCTGTAATTTCTCAGCTGTTTGCCTCTTTCCAGAAATTCATCAAAGGTGCGCTGGTAGCTGGGGGAACGGAAAGGGACTCCTTTCAGGGCCAGCACAGACACTGTGACGGCAGCTGCCTCCCAGCACTGCCTTCCTTGGGATTAGTGCAGGCCTCCCTCGCTGCCCCTGGCTGCCCCCACCCCGCCCCGCCTCATGCATCTGGATGGCCGCAGGGTGCTGTGCCTGGGCCTCAGAGGAGAGGACCTACTAAGCTTATTCTGTGGTGGAGATTGGGGGGTGCAGTGGAAAAGGCAGGGGCTCCTGGGGTGTCCTCTTTGAAGCTAAGGACTGCTCTGCTAGGGGCTTGGCAGATGCAGGTGGAGACAGGAAGTGTCCACACTGATTCCTGGTGGCTCTCGGTGCCCAAGGGTGGGGCTGGGCACAGGATGCTGGTACCAAACGGCAGGGGCAGGCACAGGGCTGACCTAGCTCAGGTTCTAGAGAGGCAAGAGGGCCACAGCCCTGACAAGCGGCCGTGGGGACCGGGCTATACCCACCTCCTCAGGAAGGCAGCCAACTCCACCAGCAGCATTTGCTTGATCTGCAAGCCCAGTTCAGGGGTGATGTTCTCAGCCTTGGCCTGGCCCTGAGAGACAATCTGCAGGGGTTGGGTGGGTGAGCAGGGCGGGCCAGGGGCACCGGGGGTTGGGTGTGAGCGGGCACATGGGAGTGGGTGCACACCAGCATGTGCGTGTATGTAGCCCGAGGTACCTGGATGATGTCGATGGCCAGCTCACTGTGGCAGTGGTCGTCCAGCTTCTGTGGAGCCATATCCTGGGCCCAGCGCTGTGACTCCAGCTTCAAGGCACGGGCCATCAGCTCCTTCACGCTGACCTGGGGGCAGGTAGTGGTCAGTGCCCTGCTCACCCAGAAGTGCTGTTGCTGTCCCTGCCCATGGCCTGTCTGTCCCCGTAACCTGCCCTCTCCTGCTCCTGGCCCAGGACTCACCACCTCATTGGACAGGAACGTGGCCTCCAGCACCCGGATCTGCCTGGAGGGCAACAGGCTCCCAAGGCTGACACCCTGCAGCTCAGCTGCCAGCTTGGGGCTTTTGAGGATGTCACTGTGGGCAGAGGAAGGCTGGCATGAGGCAGGTGTGCCCAGCTGGATTCAGGCCCCAAATCCCAGCATCGTCACACATCCTCTTACTACCCCACACACTCCTGCTCTAAAAGAGAGGGTGGGGGGAGGGAGAAAGAGGAAGGAAGGAAGGAAGAATGAAAGAGCCCCAGACCTAGGCCTGGAGGCTGCCTCTGCCCACTCTTGGGCCATCATCAAAATCATCTTGGGCCCAGCTCTCTACAGAAGCTGCCCCTGCCACACACCTAAGAACCCCTACAACTGCCCAGAGCGAGAGTGGCCTTTCAGATCAGCTCCCCCCTGCGGCCCCTCACTGCCCCCACCAGCAGAGGGTGCCAGTGAGCACAGGAAGGGTGGCTGCCCTGACTGCTTGGCGGAGGCCTCTCAGCCCACTTTCTTGGCACTTTTGCAGGGTCCCAGGCTCCCCAGGGAGCCCTAGCACTTCCAAAGGGGCCTTTGTCTATCTAGAGGTTTAAGAATGACCCTCTCTGCGTCCCCACCCAGGATGCAGCTGTGTCCTCTGTTCCCCACACTTCTGGCCTTGACAATGCCTCCCTGGACTCCACACCCAGGCCGGACTCAGTTTCCTGCTTTGCTCACCCCGGGTGCTGGGCTATGAGACCCCACGTTATGGGACAGGAAGGCCGACAGGCAGAGGTCCAAGTGCCCAGCATTTCCTGGTGAGTCAGGACCAGCAAGCAGGACTGGCTCAGGGCTGCACTGTCTTCCTGTGCCTGGTGCCCTGTGCCCTGCTGGCTTCTCCCCCACCACCCCTCTGTGCCTTGGCCTCCTGCCAGGGGCTGCACCATCAACACCAGCAGCCCCCAGGACCCTCGGCCCGGCTCCACTACCTCCACCCCATACATCCCTCCTCCTGCAGACCCGACACCCCTCATTAAGAACCCCTGGCCTCCAGCATCCCACGCTGCAGTGCCGTCTCCCCTGCTGCAGCTCGGGTGAATGACGGGCACACACAGGGACAGAGGTGAATCAGAGGGTGCTGAGGCTGGACTCAGCTGGGTACCAGCTGGCCTCCTCCGGCGCTGCCTGGAACTCCTTGGTGGACAGAACCACTGTGGGCTCACAGGGTGAAGGAGACACTCAGTACCCCACTCTCCTGCTGGCCTTCCTGCCTGGGCTTGCCAGGGCACTCCCAACACACAGGATGGCTCAGACTTTGCCCTCCACCTACCTTCTTCCGTGCCTGCCCAGTGCCCTCTCCCGCCTGACTCTCCATCTTCAGCACAGCGACACTGGCTCTTCTTCAGCCAGGCTTGGGCTCCTCCCAGGACCCCTGCCCTGACCTCCCCAAGCCCAGGCACCTCTGCACGGCCGCTCTGCTTCCCTGCTACTTCCAGGACCTCATGAATGAAGCCAGTCTGTGTGTCTCAGATTCCCCCACTGCAGAATGTGGCTGGGGACCGGGGCAGCCCCACAGCCCCACCCTACGATCCAGGCTCTGCCCCTTTCTGTTTTGTTTTGTTTTTTGAGACAACTGAGTATTTAGCCCTGGCTGCCTGTGAACTCCAGGTGATCTTTCTGCCTCAGCCTCCCTGCCTGGCACCAGACCTCACCCGCTTTCTGTCCCAGTCCCTCTCTGCATGGTCAGCCCAGCGCCCCCTGCAGCCCGCAGCCTGCTGCCCGCCAGCTCACTTTGGGTAGAGGTTCTGCACCCAGAGCAGCAGCAGGTAGGCGTCACGCTCACATAGCTCGAACTGCGCCAGGGCTGTCACGTGCGCGGCAAAGTGCTCATGGTAGCTGCGGGCGTAGGTGGTCACGACGTCGAACTCAGCTGGGAACAGTGGCCGCAGCCGCTCCACCACGGCTTCCAGGTCCTCCTTCATGGTGTGGCCCATGTTTAGGAAGGCGTCCTCCACCTCGGAGCGCCCCTTTGTGTGCGTGGCCAGCCGCGCGCCCATACGCTCAGAGGCCACCTCGGCCACGCTGTGCCGCCACTGCTGCAGCCAGTGTCGAGGACGCGTGGTCACCAGCGTTGCCGCCCCAGGCCCGGCCTCTGCCGCCCGCTGGTCCTCACGCTCCTGCTCGGCCACCACAGCCAGTGCCTGGCGCAGCCGCTCAGGCGCAGCGTCCAGGGGCCGGCGCAGCAGACCCAGCACCTGGCCACGCAGCAGCACGTACAGCGCCTCCACCTTGCTCTGCCGCCGCACCAGCTCCTCCGCATCCAGGCTGCCTGCCGTGGCCAAGACCACCAGCTCCCGCTCCAGTGCCAGCAGGTGTCCTGCTGCCTCCAGCTGTCCGCCCTCCAGCGCCGCCTTGAGCTCCTCCACTGTGCCAGAGACCCTCGTGAGGCCATATCCGGGGCAGGGGGAGGCTGGGACCCCACTGGGGGAGGTCCTGCACCCCCAAGGGTGAGTCCCTGCCCTGCAGGGGCCAGATGGCAGCCCCAGCCCCAATGTGCTCCCACCTACCTGTGGGCGCAGGCTTGTCCGATCCTGGCCCGGGCTCGGGCTGCGCTGAGCTGGGCGAACTCTTCTTCTTCCCTCTGAGTATGTTGAGCACATTGGTCAGTGCGCTCGGCTTCTTCTTCTCCTTCTTCTTCTTCACAGCCTCTGCCCCGTCCTGCTCCGGGGAGACCCCAGCTTCCAGGGGTGGCGCCAGGTCCTCAGAGGAGGCCTCGGACATGGAGGCCTCTGAGTCCGCCTCTGACGTGGAGGGCAACTTCTGGGGGTGTCCAAGAAAGTTGAGGGTCCTTGGCACAGGATGCTGGCCCAGGAGGCCTTGGAAGGTCATCATCTTCAGCATCACCCTGGCTCGGGCCTGCAAGCTGCCGGTGGGAAAGGAGTGGTCAGCAGAAGGGGCTAAGATGTAGCTCAGCAAAGCTGCGCCTGCCTGGCAAGCACAAGGCCCTGAGTTTGATTCCTGGTTAAAAAAAAAAAGTGGTCAGCCGTGACAGCGGATCTGGCCCCCAGTCTGGGCACAGTCAGGCAGTGACACAAGTGTGCTCCTATGTGACCATCAGGGCCCTGGCATGCCCTGAGCACCAACAACTCCACTCCTCCCTGGCCACAATGCCTCTTTCCGGCACCCCACAGCTGCCCCCAACGTCACCCCCACAGAGGGAAAAGGCCAGCGACACCTACCCTTCTGGACAGAGGGGGCAGGGCCTTCACTGCCTCTCAGCAGGGAGAATAGAGGGACGGGGACCACTCTGGGTCCCAGCAGACCCTGGGAGGAGGCAGGGCCTGGGCTGCTGTGCGCTTACTTATTTTGTGTCTTTGACACAGGGTTCCCACAGGCACTTCAGGCTGGCCTTGAACTCACTTACAGTGATCCTCCTGCCTCAGTCTCCCTGGGTGCTAGGGTTACAGGGGTACACTACCCTGCCTCACCTTGCTGTCCATTTACACAAAGCAAGAACGGTGGTCCAGACAGGACCACAGCAGCTGCAGAAAGCACCAGAAAGTTCTTTTCTAGCTGTGGAATATCCGAAAGATGCCACCAGGGGACACAGCCCGACCCTTTGTATGGGGCCCGGGGCTCATGTCCACAGAAGCCAGGTCCTGTCAGTGTGGGACCAGACCTCAGTGACGTTTCACGCGTCCCCAGCGGCAAGGGGCTCAGTGAGGGGCTGAGCCGGAGGCCCAGGGCTGCCAGAGGCCACACAGTGAGTGCTGGGACCCAGGCTCACTAGCTCCGCCCCACCAGGCCTGCTCCAGATGGGTGACATCATCACCACAAAAGCCTCCATTCCCCGTGTCCGCAGCCTTCCTGGGTGCCCACCCCTTCTCTTCCTCGCCCATCCACAGGGGTTACTTAGGTTTAAAATATCCCTGTGGTCAACAGCGTGGGCCTGGAAGCTGGGTCATCTGGGCCCTGGGCCTGGCCTTTCCCTGCCTCTGCCTCCCTGTCCCAAAAGCAGCCTGGAGAATGTAGGCCCCTCCCCACGTCGGAGCAGGACAGGGCCACCAGCAGGGAGCAGGGTTAGCGTGACTGTGACCGCTGCACCTACTTCCTCACCTTCAAGAACAAACAGGCCAAGCCATCGGGGGGAATCTGAGGGCCCTCTAACTGGCCCACAAGGCAGACACGATGAGTCACGCCAGCTGAGGGAAACTAGGGCTAAGGACAGGGTGCTTCCCGAGCACAGCAGGCGGGGGCTGGTGCTGAACCTCTCCATGTCCTTCCACCTCCACCTGCCCGCTTCCTGTCCCATCTCCAGGGCACAGCCTCATACCCTGAAGCTTGGCCAGAGCTCTGGGGTGGAAGGGATGCCCGAGCTCCTCCCAGCCAGTCCCTGCTATTCTCCCCAGCTGCCCGGGAGAAGGTCCCCTAGACCACAGCTGCCCACCTGGTGCTGGACGGGCCAGAGCTCCAGGCCAGCACAAGCGGGTGCGCTGGTGTGCCCAAGCCAAGGTTCCAGGTTGGAGGCCCCAGACTCTTGTGCCCCTCCCAGCCAGTCCACCTGCGTGCCAAGACCCACAGGAGCTGGTTTGGCCTGTGGAGCTGCCCAGCCCCCCCTCGGTGCCCATGCCCACCAGCCCTACCTTGCCCTCACTGCCCCGCCTCCCAGGGAGCGGCCCTTGCCTCTACAGGCCAAAGCCGCGGCTGGTTGCCCATCCCCACGGCCGTCAGCTGGCACAGTGGAAAGCAGCAGCTGCGGGCTCAGTGCACCCCTGCTGGGGTGTGGACGGGACACCCCCGCCAGACCTCAGTGTCCTCCTCTGAGATGTGAAACTGAGGCCCCCTCACAGGGCACTGCCGGGCGTGGGCCCGCACCAAGGGGAGCCCCCGGGTCCCTGTGTCTGCCAGCTCCCCTGCAGCCCAAGAAGGGAGAGAGGCGTTCCCCGATGAGCCCCCTGAGGCAGGAGGGGCCTGCTCAGCCGTACAGGGAGTGACCCCAGCTTGTGGTTCAACAGTGTCGCTCCCTGCTGCCAAACCTGGGCACCGCCGCTTCCCGGGGTCGGGGCAGAGGTCCCCGCAGCGCCTCTCCAGACCCTGGCTGGGGGGACAGGGACACCCAACGAGGACCTGATGTCCACCCCTTGAGGACACCCTGGCGCACAGGCAGGGAGGTCCCCTGGCCTGCGGCACACTGCCAGGCCATTCCCTGGGGGGATCGGGCCGGCCCGGGGCCCGCGCGGTGGGGACAGAAGCGCTGTAGCGGGGGTCACTTACTGCGTCCGGGACAGGCCGCTGCCGTCCGGGGCCCCCTCCGCGCGGCCTGAAAATAGCCGCGGCCCCGCCC